GTATAATAGATAATGTGAAATAGGAAGAAACGGGGCAAAGGGAAGGGGAAGAGGGAGGGGTAGGGGAAAGGAAAGAAGGGAATGGAATTAATATTAGAAAAAGAAAACATGGAAACAAAGTTTTATAAATATGGAGGGATGGAGGGGTTAAAGGGAGGGCAGGGGAATGGGGAAAAAATAACCAAGAGAGATTATGTAAAGGTGCAAATTTCCAATGATAAATGACATTATATTGTATTCCTAAAATGTAACAATAAAATTAATTTTTTAAAAAATAATATACGGGAGAATATGTATTGATTGTATATGTTCATGACTTATCAAACAAAATAGACCATGAAACAATGTTATACCATAATTTTTGTAAAAGCGTGCATTAAGAACAAAAAGATGCATATAAAATGTAAATAGTGGTCATCTCTGGATAGTAGGAAAGAAATAATTTTATTTTCCATAGATACATGTATATCTGGTTCATATTGTCCATATTTTCTATTATTACTATGTTTATACTATGTTTATGAAATTACTATTAAAAAAGAAAAATAATACTTAAAAATATGTCTCCTTATCTAAATGGTCAGCTCCTTGAGGCTGTTAACTAAATACAGGTTCAGAAGCTCCCATGGAAAACCAATATCCCAGAGAACAGAGTTGGAGAAAGAAAGGTTTTATTCAGTAGACAAAGAAGGGAGAACTGGGAGCTTTAGTTGCAAATCAACTTCTCAAGCCCAGAGGGGTTGAGGAGTTAGAGACACAGGACAGGAATAACAAAGGAGAGCCATAGGCTAATAAAAGGGAGGAATATTCCCATCTTTTCTCAGCACAGGTAAAGATCATCCAGGAACTTGGGTACCAACCCTTTTCACTCTTCTTAGGATCTGATGTTTCCAATCATGGCAGCTGAAAAGGGGAAGGAGAGAGGCGAGGCAAGTAACCCTCTGTTATAGTCTTAGATAAAACATTTATCAAATGATCGACGTGCCTACACGCAGAGCTGAGTAGAATCTGACGCAAAGGTTAAGGTGGCAAAAGAGAGGGACACAATCCCGGTCCAGTCACACTATGAGACATCTTCAGGCCAAAGTGAAGTCAATGTTTCCAGCAAAAGTGGCCTCCAAGTCCCTGAAATATAATCTAGGCAACCATTATCATCCTAACCCACACATCAGAGATATTATCTACAGAGAAGTTAACGGAAAACTAATAATGTATTATACAGTTGTATGACCTCCCATATTAGTGATTTGTGTGCGTGTGTGCATGTCTGTGTGTGGGGGGGTGGTGGTGCTGGGGATTGAACCCGGGGCTTTGCACATGATAGATAAATGCTCTACCACTGAGCTGCCCATCCACTCCCTAAATGAGTGACTTTTAAATCAACCAGGAACAAATGAAGCTAGTGGAGGTTATTTAGCTTTTTTCCCTTGGTAACAAGATCAGCAGGGACTGTGAACAAATCTTGTGACTATCGACTAATGACTATTATGAATGGAACCCCCTGAAAGCTCAGTTAATATTTTCTCAAATGATATCACAGTAGTTTAAACAAAAGCTTTAGGGTAAAATAGGATACTTATTATAAATATTTCCTCGGTGTGGATTTTGTTTCTGTTTTGGTTTTTTGAGGCAGGGTGTTGCTATATAGGCCAGGTGGGCTTTGAACTCAAGATCCTCCTGCCTCCTGGGTGCTGGAATTAGAGGTGTGCACCATGAGGACCTTGGTGTGGATTTATACTGGGAAATTGTTTTATTTTCCCAAAATTTACTATTACAGATAAGGTATTCTGTGGATTTTAGTAGAACAGTCTATCATCTTTCCAACAAAAGATTTGATCTCATAAAGGAATAGTTTTCAGGGATGACATTTTCTTTTATGAATATTACTACATTCTTTTTTCTTTTGGTACCAGGGATTGAACTCGAGACCTTACGCTTGCTTGGCAGACAGTGGAACCACTGAGCTAAATCCCCAGTTCTATTACTATATTCTTAATAAAAAACTATTAAATATACTCCAAAATACATGTTAATACTGGAGTTAGAGGCATTTAACTTTGAATTTTATAAGAAAGTGCCAAAAATTTCTAAGGATTATGGGATACCATCACTACCTAATGTAAACACTTAACTACATGAAAAAATTACGAAGATATCAGATTTTCAAAATTGCCTTTTCCTTCAGATTATGAGATAGATTTATTTAGACAGCTGAAACAGGACCCTGTAAGAGATGTTTAGTCTACTTCACTATTCCCCAAAGATTATTAGAAAGGAATAACTCAATTGAATGTTTTGACAGAGCCTGCTTTGATTATGAGAGTGATTTTTGTACAGGATACTGTTAAATAATAATCTTCAAGATTTATGTGACTGCAAACAATACTATTTTAATGTTGTCTAAAGAACTATTCAGCAATATAAAAATGTGGAGCATGATAGCTACTTTTTGCCAAAAAGACAGCTTTTTGTAGTTGTGACAAAATACCTGAGAGAATCAACACAGACAAGGAACGATTCATCTGAGCCCATGGTTTCAGTCCGTGGTTGGCTGATTCCACTGCTTTGGTGCTGATGTAAGGCAAAACGCCACACAGAAGGCCACAGCAGAGCAAAGCTGCACTTCATGGCTGACAGAAAGCAGAGGGAAAGCAGAGACCATGTGCTGATGGGCTTCCTCTTTCTGCTTTTGTTCCATCCAGGCCCCACCCTATAGGATGGTGACACCCACATTTAGTGTAGGTCTTTTCCCCTTAGTCTGCTGGCCCAAATATCAGCCATCTTGGACACACCCTCAAAGACAAACCAACACACTTCTGGAAGTGTGCTTAATAATTTCCCAGGTGTCTCTCAATCCAAACATGTTGACAGTCAAGATTATACTACACTGGCCCGGGATTTAGAGCTCCGTGGTTCCGGCACCTGCCTCGCAAACGCAAGGTCCAGAGTTCGATCCCCGGTACGAAAAAAAAAAAAAAAGATTATACTACATTGGTATAGAAGAACTAAAATTTCTCTTCTCTCATGTGAATGGCTAGATACCTTTGATCTTGTAAACTAATAATACCTATTATAACAAAAGATACTAATAACATAACAAATATTGTGTGCAAAATATTTCACTGTTGGTTTAAAACATCTAAAATATAAATGTTCTCTAATATAATGTAAATGGAATATTTGTAAGAGCAACTATGTGTTTTGACTTACAAACAAGGCCCTTTTGTTTTGCTTTAGATCTCCACTTTTTTCTTTGCTGCCAAATTCCTAGCCTCTTTTGATTAATAAGATGCTAATCTTGTTGGACTCCACAGTTCAATAAACTTTAATGTTGCATGTCCTGGGACTTAAGAAAATCCTGAGCAGCTGTCACTGACTTCACACTCTTTGTATCCCTTTTTGTAGCTATCAGGGTTTCCTGTTATGCCTGCTGAGGTAACTCAAAAGGCAATATTCAGACCTCAGTCTTACTTTAGGTCACAAAACCGCCTGAGGCTTAACTTAGCTGCTATTTTTTCTTGTCCTTTATATCTGTCAAAAGGAGCTCATTAAAAATTATTTTCAAAAATTTTCTTCTCATGTCTTAATATGAAACTGAATGTTTTACTTAAACTATTGAAGTTGTGGTTTTCATTTTCCTTTCTAGCATTTTTCCCCTTTCTTTCTTTCTTTTTCTTTCTTTCTTTCTTTCTCTTTCTTTCTTTCTTTCCTTCCTTCCTTCCTTCCTCCTGTCCTCCCTCCCCCTTCCCCCTCCCTTTCCTTCTCCCTTTCTCTCCCTCCCCAGGCTGTCTTCTCCTTAGTTCAAAGGATTCTATTGTCTCAGTCTTCTGATTAGCTGGCAGGACAGGTGTGCTGCACCTCACCCTGCTATGTTTCCAGTATTTTCTAACCATGATTATTAACCATTTTAGGAAACACAAATGAGTTTTTTAGAATACTGAAAGAAATTTATTACCTGTTCAAAATAAGTACTGTCTCACCTGGAATTTTATGGCAAAGCTAAAAATGACAGAACTAAAGCAACTATCAGGAAAAGTGAAGACCCCTACACTGTAAGGTCAATTGGAGTAACTTGGAAATGCAGTACTGGACAAAACAGAACCAGTGCAATTCCTATATTTCTATGTGACACAATTTCTTTAGTGACTATAGAACCCCTGTTACAGACACTTGTGACAAAGAAACTTTATGTTTGGGTTGATGGTGACAATGCAAAGGCATATCAAGAATGTTTTTTTCCATCTATGTGACCAAATTTTCCGTAAATATTTATGTATGGGTCAGCTCTCTGTTGCTGGAACACAATATCCAACACCCACAATTTAAAGGATAGGTTTATTTTGGCTCATGGTTTCAGAGGCTTCAGTTCACAGTCAGCTGTCTCCAACCAGAAACATCATGATGGAAGGGCATGGCAGATGAAAGCAGCTCACCTCATGGCATCCAGGAAGCAGAGAGGAGGGAATAGGGTAGCCAAGGACTAGATATAGTCCTCAAGGTCACACCTCCATGGCACACCCAGACACACTCAGAAGTGTACTTCATTAAATGCCTCAATTTCTCTCAAGCTAATTATAATAACAATCAAGATTAACCATCAGAAACTTATATATAAGTTTTTCTGCCTGCCTTTATTGTCTATCCACTGCTATATAACAAAGTACTGTGCACCCAAAACTTTGATTTAAAACAAAATTTAGTACCTTGCAGATTTTGTGGGTCAGGAATCAACCTAGGAATGGCTTAGCTAGATCCTCTGCTTCAGGGTCTCTTACGTGGCTGCAATGGCAGGGGCTACTTTCATCTCAAGTTCCCAGTAGGGAGGATCTGCTTCCAAATTCACTCTTACAGTTTTTGCAGTTCCTTGTGGGATGTTGGTAGGAAGCCTTACTCAATCCTTGGTTTGTGAGCAATATGGCAACTCGCCCCTATCAGAGAGAGAGTGAGAGGTCAAGAGAGAAGCCAATATTTTAACAGATGACTTCTCTCTTTAGCTTCAAGGGTCCACAGATGGAAAAGAACTGAGCTCCTGGAACTGTATTTAAAGAACTGCATCTTGAGGAGCCTCTGCCATCCTTATCTTATTTCAGTAAAGAGATTCTGTACTTTGAGCTGATGCTGTAATTCAGTGAGACTTTAGGGGACTTGGGGAGAGAATAAATGTATTTTGTACCTAAGAGGCAGATTTTAAGACAGCTCCCAATGATCCCACCTCCTAGTGGTCCACCCTTTGGGTCTAGGTGGCCTACTGACCAGCTTCTAATAAAGGATACACTAAAAGTGATGGGATGTCATTTCTGATGCTAGATCCCAATATAAAATGATGGATATAGAAAAATTGCATAGACATTCCTATTCATAGACATTCCATAGACAATTGCCATAGACATTCCTATTCCTATTCCTAGGAGGGAATAAGAGACACAAAGATGTTATTAAGTCTAACCTGAAAACAAGGAGGCAGGAACCCAAGGGGGCACTTTAGAGGCTGCCCACAACACTGTCCTTCCATTTGATTCTAATAACCAAAGGAGTACAACTTTAAGGAACTAGTTTATGAAACTTGAGGTATAGCTGATTTTTTTATACATATGGCATTGCTGAGAGTTTGTATTGCAATTTTCTTTGGCTCAGAGTAAAAATTATTGTCGATTACAAGACTATTGGAAGAAATTAGTTAAAATTCTATTTCTTTTAATCATGGCTATAGATTTGATCATTGAATTTTGGATTGTTTAATTTTCCAAAGATTTTCAAAATGTTTTTCTAATGTTTAACACCTGTTAAGCGCATACTTACTGCTCTAACTGTATTCTATATTTTTCTTCAATTTGGCATTTGCATAAAATTCAATTACATTCTTGAAATATCAGAGTTTCTACTTTGAATATGGAAGTTATTTTAGTACTTTTTTGCACTCTTGACAGAACTAAAGGAATACTTTCCACTTCCTTTCTCTATGCTGCTTTCTGAAGTTCTGGCAGAAAACTCTATTTTCCTTCCTTTTACATCAGACTAGAATGTTGGTTCTCTTTTCTTCTTTTGGTACCAGGGATAGAACTCTGGACCTTGTGTTTGCGAAGAAGGCGTGGCACCACTGAGCTAAATCCCCGGCCAGAATACTGGCTCTCAGACACTTTTGTTTCTCAGAAGACATTAGCTAATATCTGCAGATATATTTGGTTTATAATTTGAGTGTGCTACTGGCATATAGTGGGTGGAGGTCTGAGGCAATGCTAAACATCCTAAAGTAAATAGGATGACCCCTGCACAATAAAGAATTATCTGGTTGAAAATGTAAACAGTGCCAAGGTTGAAAAACTCTGGCCTGAAAACAAATCACTCCTCCCACCTTAAATATGATGACATTAGAAAGTTGTTTCAGTCTTAGTTATTATATTAATTGATTTTTCCCCTAATCACACATTTCCTCTAAATAACAACAAGGTGGAACTGATAAAAACCAAGAATTGCAGGCAAAACAGGTTCTACATCAGTTACTAAACCATCAACTAATATAGTCTGAGGTAAAGGGCACTGAACAAGTGAGATTTCACCAACCATATAGCCGGGACACTTCTTTTAATTGAGCAACATGCACTGGATACCTTGTGATACTTTGGAATCTAATTTTATACTTTAAATCTAGAAAATGTCTATAATAAGCTTATCCAAACTACAGCATGGATTAGGAAAAATTTTAAATTTCTGTATCTTCTTAGAATGATGTCAAATGATAACAAAATTAAGAACAGAATAAAGCAGTATGATGAAATCCCTAAGGTAATGATATCTTAAGAAACAATGGTGCAAATTTTTATTATTCTTTGGCATTTCTATTTAATTCTTATATCTTCACTTAAATAAGTTTTCTATAGCTTTATGAATCACCTGTCCGTATATGTAGAACAGGGCTTTGGGAGAGGAATATATACTATTTTTCTGAATTGAATCTGACTAGTCTCTTCATAATATAAGCATGCTATTCTCTTATATCAGCTTTTATCTTCAATGACATAGGCAAGATCTAATATCAAATTTGCTGTCTCTACAGCCACCTGTAGGCCACTGAGCTTAGCAGTCAAACAGTCCAGGGTCAGGCTGTGGGCTGATTGTGGGCTGACTTCCCAAGATTCATGTGGAAGGCAGGTCTGGGGTACAAAAGGATGACACGTGCTTCTTAAGAAAGACCAGCCAAGTTCTTCCTGGCTACTGTATACTCCACAGCCACATCTAGAAAGCAAATCTGTCCAGTTAACAACAGAGGAAGGACCTGCCTGAATTGACCAAAAGTGTCCATACTTCATGTCAATCAGAATTTCACCTCCATCATGTTCCAAAGAGCCAGCGAGAGACTCTAGAGCACTGCAAAAAGCTTCAGCAATTAGTTGAAGTTCTGCTTGAGTACATCCATCATCTTGGAGAATACTTCCTGGCTCCTCATAAGTCTAAAGAGTAATAAAACCATGGAAAACATGTAGTGAGTGATCAACACAAAAATGTTTCACAAGGATAAGATATTTGATCAAAATCTTATTCAGGAAGTTCCTTCCCACCTTGATGTACTTTGGGGTTTGGCGACCACAGTCATAGGCTTGCATGGGTCAGCTGTCCAGGCTGCAAGCCCTTAACCTGACGGCTTATAATAAAATCATGTGCTCCCAGCCCTACTATAGAATGACTGAATCAGAGGAAACCCCACCTCAGTGTTTTTTGAGGAACTTCCTAGTGCCGTCTCCTTAATACACGAGGTGCATGTATTGCCATGGTGCATGTACTGCACACAGGGCAGTTCCTAAACACTAATGCTCCAAATGAAGTACTTATTAATTACATCAGCAAAATACTTCAGGTTTGTTTAAATTAAAAATGCACACATTACTATGAAGACATCATTTGTGGATATGTAAAATTTCCACATCCATATTTTTAAAATGTAGATTTTTCTCTTAATGAAAGGGTAATAAGACTTTAAACTGCTTTTCTCACTCAGCATTCTAAGAAGTTTATTCTAGAAATTTCTTAAAGAAAAATCAGTATAGCAGCAAACAGAGCATAACAGAATAATGGTTAAAGAAATTCTTATCCTAACTACTTAAAAACAGTAACCATTCCTTTTTGTGTAGCTAGCTTTGAACCAGATGAGATCACCTATACTGCATATTTTCCCCATATCAAGGCTGTATTACTTCTTCAAAATCTACCCAAGATACCATCTTCCTCCAAAATATTTTCTCTAGTTTACTCAATTCCATTTACAGATTACACCAGAGCTCACTCAGCCTCATTAGACTGGCATGGATCTTGTTTTCCACAATGTTTATTTTGATAACTTCTCTTGCATTGTGTTTTCTTCAAATAGATTTTAAATTATTTGAGGAAGCATAGAGGTGTCTGTCTATAAGAATGTTTATTCTTTCTCTAGTCCCAATTAGCTCTTGAAGCTCTGCAGAGCTTCTCTGTAACTCTCTGGTCTATGCAAGGAGTTCACTGTGAAAATATGGAAAATATGGATGCCTTTTTGTGTGCATTTTTCAAATAAAGTAGGATAGGCCTTATATGAAATAATTTATCAGAACTATAACAAACTAAACTTACCTGACAACTGTCAGGAAATGGTACTTCCTGAACAAATAAAAAATTCTATCTAGTAGAATTAATATATACCATACATAGATATCAATTTAAATTGCAATAAAATCTGATACTTGGAATGCTGTAAATGAAGTCTGTCCTTGACACTCCAGAAAGTACTAAAGTACTTTGTAGAACCTTGGCCCTTTTGTTATGAAGACTAATTATGGTTGAATTTCAGGAGTTGAGATTTCTGTGAATTCTCAGTAACAGAATGCTAGTTTTAACAGGCCGTCTATGCAGACAATACTCAAAGAATGGTATCATTTGCTAAAGGATTAGATTTGTAATAACTGTTTCAATTAAGACCTTACCTTGTATTTATAAGAATTAGTTTCCTCAAGTATTTTCAAGCACAATATCTGAGTTAGATTATTGAACAATTAAGCACTAAGGGTGCTAGGATATTACAACTTAGTTTATTATCTCATAAAAGAGAAATTGCTGAGAATCGAGGTCCTCTGCAGAGGACTTTCCGATTTACCTTGTGTCTGATATATGCAGCCAAATGAGTTTCAGTGCAGCCACCTCCCAACAAAACCCATGGCTCCTTGATTATTAATTGCAAGACATGCAGTGCTGTTTGACATGTGAGCTGAGAAAGAAGCAAATCAGCATTGGGCATTCATATCAGGTACAGTGTAAGTATCAGCATGCTCTCAAAACAACAGAGCTAGTGGACTCAAAGAGCCTGATTTTAACTGACAAAAACAAAATCTGTGTTGTCAGGTTTGTAATATGATTAATAAATTTTGGAGTAACAAAGATTACAGATCAAAGATACTTTAGCCAGAAGTCTGTTTTACAGAATTTGATTCATATTTTCTTTCACATGCACATAGCTTTTCAAATTACAGTTCACAAAGGTATGGTCAACAAGATTTGCTGGTACTTCTAAATATATTTTAATCTAAATATATTAATTGTATAAATGCTGTATTTATTTCAAACTTTGGAAATAATAGCTAAAATCCTGCAATAATAATAGAAAAACATACAGACCTTTGACTCAGCAAGGATATATCCTTGAACATACATGAATCTTTAACTTGTCATCAATTAAATAGATTATCACTTTCCTTATATAAAAGTTACATGTTACTGTTGGTACAGCATAAACTGTACTAAGGGTAATGGGTACTAAGTGAATTCATACACATTAGCATTTAAAGAGTACACAATTCAAATTAATTTCATCAAGCATCTTTTAGGCTTCTTGTGAATAGTAGGAGTAACAGCAACACATGCGTATCTACTACAGTCTCACAGATTAGCCTGTGGCTTTGATTTTCTCTTCTTTGGTGGGGGGGAGCAGAGGTTGAACCAGGACCTCCTGCAGTTTGAACACAAGCTCTACCACTAGCACTAGCACTGAACTATGTCCCCAGCTATGCTTAGATTTTTAAAAATGTATTACAGTAAAACATATTGCCATTAAACCCCCTCAAAATACTCCTTACTTCAAACACACCTATCCCATTGTTCTCATCATTTTCTGAAGCAGTTTTAGAAGTCCTCTCCTGTCTTCACAAAGTGTGATAAAAAGAACAGCAAATGCTGCTGCCAAGTGCTGTCCCACAGAAAGACAGGTTTGAAAAATATTACTGTGTCCTCACTCTCCTTATTCACTGGATCTGGCACTGCATGACTTACAATCTTACTCAAAGTCAAAATGAACATGAAAACCATTTTGAACTGATTGAGGAAATCGAGGCAGCTATGACAGTGCAACTAAAGACACTCAGGAAAGAGTGCTTCCAGAACTGCTTCAGAAAGCGGCAAGAACAATGGAATAAGTGTGCCCCAAGTGAGAGGGAGGACATTGAAGGAGATTAATGACAATGTTCTTTACTATACATTTTGAAAAAACATTCAGTCATTTTTCAGTAACACTGAATATACGGTACCTGTTGAGTTACTATCTCATCCCTGCCTCAGCCCCTAGATACGGAATTCAAGTTTTTTCCTTACCTTCAGCTCATCCCAGGCAGTGTCACTTCTGTTGCAGAGAAGCAAGCTGCTGACAGTCGCTTCATTAGGAATAAGATGAAAAAAATGTTTGCAGCCAAATTTAGCAGAGCACCAGTCTTTCACGCTTCCATAACTACCAGGAGATATTGAGCCTAGGGAACCAATAGGCTGTGCTCCTATTTTTGTAAAGTATAGAAAACATAAAATGCATAAGCAAAGGTTGAACAAACAACCACTGAGAATTAATATTATTCCCAGGTAATATAGAAGTTTCACAAAATCTTATTAAAATTTGAAATGTAGGTTAAAGAAAAAAAATTCAGCTGGGCATGGTGGCATACTTCTGTAATGCCAGCACTCTGGGAGGCTGAGACAGGAGGATCTCAGCCCAGCCAGTGTAGCTTAGTGACTTAGCATGAGACCCTGTCCCAAAATAAAAAATAAGAAAATCAAAGTTTTAAAAAGGCTGGGATATGTGGTTCAGTGTGAAGACTCAATCCCCAATAGCAAAAACGAACAAATAAATATAAAATAAAAAAGGCATCTTCTTAAATCTCTGAAATTAGTATTCAGCTAGTAAAATGATATACAAATAAAGTAGAGGTTCTTTTGGATCTTTTGTTTAAAGACCTCTTTAAACATTTGGTAGTTCCCAAAAGAATTAAAGGCATCATACCACAGCAATATATGTGCACCCATGTTCATAGCAGCAAAGTTTGTAATAGCTAAAACTTGGAAACAGCTCAATTGCCCATCCACTGGAGATTGGATAAAGTTTTTTCCTGTTTTTTTTTTTTTTTTTTGGTACCGGGGATCAAACTCAGGTCCTTCCGCTTGTGAGGCAGGCAGCAGAACCACTGAACTAAATCCCCCCGGCCCTGGATAAAGTTTTGTTGTTGTTGTTTTTTGTTTTGATACCGGGGATCGAACTTGGGACCTTGCACTTCCGAGGCAGGCAGCGGAACCACTGAGCTAAATCCCCAGTCCCAAGATTTTTTTTTTTAATAAAATGGAGTACTACTCAGCCATAAAGAATGAGAAACTAGAGACATTTATAGCTAAGTGGATGCACATTGAGGACATACTCTTAAGTGAAATAGAACACACGTGCAAATACCTAATAGTTTCTCTGGTGTGAGAAACTGAAAGTGTAAACAAGGATCAAAATGTATAACAGATACTGAAATAGGAAGAAAAGGTCCAAAAGGGAAGAGGAAGTGGGAGGGGTAGGAGAAAGGAAAGAAGGGAAAGGAAAAAACATGAGAAAATGAAAAAATGGAAACAAAGTCTCTGTAAATAGGGAGGGGTGGAGGGGTTGAAGGGAGGGCAGGGGAATGGGGAAAAAATAAGAACTAAGATAGATTATGTAAAGGTACCAACTCCCAATAATGAATGTCACCATATTGTATACCTAAAATATACCAATAAATTTAATGAAAAAAATTTGCTAGAGGTTATCTTGTACTGTTTCCAGAAAAAGATGTGACAATTTTGCATACATTTTTAGGAAGTCCAGAAACCATGAATTCACAGATATCAAAGAACCCAAGATAAGAACCTCATTATTCTAGGATAAAGGTGATGTGAAGGGAAAGGCTTTTATGCAAGGTATTACTATTTCAATTTAAAACAAATGAAACTGCCCAAATAGAATTTTTGGGGCTTTACTTAGGAAATACATAGGAATTATTATTTTTGCTTAACAACTGTTTTTGTGTAAACAGCTACTTAAGTTATACAAAAACAAAGTATGTGGCATAGTCACTTTTTAAAAATTAATTTTATTGGTACATTTTAGGCATATGACATTCATCACTGGAATTTGCACCTTTACATAATCTCTCTTGGTTCTTATTTTTCCCCCATTCCCCTGCCCTCCCTTCAACCCCTCCATCCCTATTTACAAAGACTTTGTTTCCATTTTTTCCTTTTCTCATATTAATTCCATTCCCTTCTTTCCTTTCCCCTACCCCTCCTACTTCCCCTTTGCCCCTTTTCTTCCTATTTCACATTATCTATTATACCTTTTAGTCCTTATTTACACTTTCAGTTTCTCACACTAGAGAAATCATTTGGTATTTACACGTGTCCTATTTATTTCACTTAAGACTATCGCCTCATTGTCCATCCATTTAACTATAAATGTCTTAGTCACTTTTTCAATTGTTTGATCTAATGAATGTTTAATTCTCACCCTACAGAGGTAAAATAGTAAAATTTTACAAATCACAAATTAGTAAAGATACAAATAAACTAGAATGGCCTGGATTTGTGCAAAAATCTATTAACGTGGTGAAAGTTATGTAAGAAACCTACACTGAACTTCTAAAGAATATTGGTTTAGTCTGAATATTGAAACTGCAGCCCAGAGCAATTCACTCCTTCCTTTTCTTTTAACCCAATGGGGTGAAGGACACACTGAGTCAAATAACTGCGGCCAGCTCCCACTTAAACAGTATTGTTTGCATGGGAAAATGTTCGACTTTAAAAACAGAATAATCCGGAATAACACCCAATATTACTAGGCTGCAAATTGCCAGATTCATGAAAAGCTAGTAGATATTTAAGGATAGGACTCTGACCTACATCAGCAATGTTTCTAAAAATTATTTCTATTATTTCTTGATAATTTTCACTTTGACATTCATGGGTCTTAAAAAGGACACTAACCAAGCAATACTATGCATTCAACATGTCGTCCATACCACTCTTTGATGTTTGGTAAGACTACATTAACAATGTTTTAATAACTTCAAAATTGCAGTCAGTGCAGAACTAAATGATCATCTTCCTGATTTGTTGTCAGTTCATTTGAAGGGATACAGAGAAGTGGCTACAATCAGCAACTCTATTTTTCTTTGGCTCTAACGGTGAATATTAGTCTTAAATGTGATTTTAATTGGTTGAGTTTGTGAAATATGGATTTCATGCCTACTGCAATTCTTTAGGTTACTAAATGTATTATCTTCAATTCAGCAAACATTTTACACACTCTATTGTGTTTCACACGTTATAGGTGCTGAAAAGGAAAAGTGATCTTGATTCTCAAGGAACTCAGCCGGGAATATTTTTGATATTTAAACATATCTCCCCTCCCTCCCTACTGGGAACCATTTGGGCAGAAGTACAGAGTACCACTGGTGTTAGGATAAAAGCAAAGGGTATTCTAGCTATGAAATTGTCTTCTGAATATAACATGATTTAGAAGCTTTGTAAATTTGAGAATTGTTCTGGGTATGAAAGACATTATGAGGATAGTCTTCTCAAGTACCTGGGGTTATAATAAACTACATTTCAGGGCTAAAAAATAGTAAATGGCTATAATCACTTCATTTTTAGTTAAGTGAATAGAGGATTTTAAGCAACAACCTTTGTTGCTAGAAACGATATGCTGTGATGTTGGTGGCTTCTAAAACTATGTAAGATTTTAACAATGACAGAAACCGAGAATCTCAGCTCCCTCCCCCACAAAATGATTAACTGTAAGGGGCAAAAGCCAAGAGTGCTTTTTACCTGTCACTTTGCTTAGGGGCTCCATCAGCATCACTCCCACTCTGTCTATGGCAATAACTTGATGCGTAGTAAGGAACTGTTTCAAAGACGGGTGTATAACTTTTTGGCATAGGACAAGTTCCACACGGTCACTAACTAACTGCCTTCCTAGGTTAATCAACTGGTCCAGGACTGCATTTTCAAGAAACACCCCATCACTGACCACCACATTTCCTTCTCCAGGGTCAGAAAAGTCTCCGGATAAAGATGTAGAAAAGAGCACCACCTTGAGGGGACTTGATTTTCGGACAAGTAATATCTTCATTAATTGAACTTCTGACACTTCAATGAGTACTCCGGGTAACACAGTAGAATCTGTAACTCTTTGACCCTTTAAAGGTACAATTATACTCTTTCCTAAAATGATGGGATCTTCTGTGTTTTCTGGAATTGTAAGCAAAAAAGCTCTAAGAATCAAAACACTGATATGATCTATTTCCTTCCTGGTGAGCATACAGGCAGGTTTACTTGTTAAAATACTGCGCACCAAACAAAGGAGGATCGGGGTATTACTAAAATCGACTGGGATTCGGCAACCACAGACCTCAGACCTGAGATAATTGGTACAGAAATTCAAAAGGTGTGTATTAAGTTTAATGGTGGTGGTGACTGTCAAATCTGTTTTCTGAACATTTTCAATTAGGTTGCAGCAAAGAATGGCTGTGAATAACCCACAGTCACTGAAGCAGGACACATGGTTCTGCACGGATGTTGTCAGGATCTTTAATATGGGATGGGTGACTGAGAGGTTGCGGAGCAGCACTGCAGACTGGGAGGTTGTGCACACAGCGCCCCCCATGCCGTTGTGCAGCTGTTTCAGCCGCCCGGAAGGGCCATAGCAGGATGTTAGGATGCCTTTCAAGACAGAAAGTGTGGCCCTGACTTTCTCAGTTGTGAGTGGTTCACTGTAACACAGTGATGGCTTCTTAGCTTCTAATCGAGACAACATACTGGGGTGGGACTTGTGAAGCCAGCTTTTATTTTGTTAACCATATTTTCTACTTATGGCCATGTGTTCTAAAAAATATTTTAAAAAATATTCTTCAGAAATGAAGGTGCGAATACAGTGTTGTGGCTATGAAATTACACGGTGCAGTGTTTCTGAAGCTAATCAACACATAATGACTTACTAACATACTGGTAATTCCAAGTATTTATTTTACTTCATTCTTCAATATGCTTTTGTTTGCTTCCTGCCTGAGATTTCACAGACTGTTTTGCAGCCCTCTGTATGATGTATGTTCCCAAATGGACACCTATGAAAGCCACCCCAGCTACAAGAAGCCAGTTCTTTCTAATCCAACTGGTTTTCATTTCTTCTTTTAATATCAAGCTCAGATTCAAAGCTGCTTCTGTCTGGAACAAATAAAAAATAAAACATTTTAGAGGAATAATTCCAAACTAGTTTGTAGACTGCAGTTTACTTTTTATTTTTATGTTCTCCATTTTTATGAAAAGAAACTCCAACTGTCAGAAGCCTTGAGAAAATGAGAAAGGTAAATCAACTTAGGCTTAATGTTGCTTTATTCTTCAATAAATTGCCCCAATACAGAAAAAAGTGCTTGTATTTCAATGATTTTAGAATACACAATAGAGCTAGAAAGCTTACATACTTGTTTCTGGGAGAGAAACACTACATTATAAACTAAGAATTTGGTCATTGAGTCTTAAAGAAATACTCCCAAATGTTTTTATTTTTTTACAGTAAGATTTGAAGATGTGCAAAGAAGGGGTAAAAAGAGGAAATGTTATACAAAGGGTTATTTTGGTTACTGCTTCCAATTTAGTTCAAAGGCCATAACCATGGCAACTGGGCTCAACCCAAGTGAAGGCAACCTGGCCAGCTTTCCCTCTTCAATGATAAAGCTATGAAACCCCTGGTTATGGCATGAGGAGGGGAAAACAACAACAACAACGACAACAGCAAACACACAAAAACCTCCTGTTTGTGTATCTTATGCTAGAAACAGCCAAGATACTTAAGTATTATTTCAATGGTTATTTCAGATTCAATAAAATCTGAGAAACACACTTAGATGAAACCCTAGCAAAGTTACTTCCATATGGTAACCTGACATTAGATTTTATACATAAAATTCACAACAGAGACTATGATTAATGATTCTTCTAATTTCCCTTTTTCATATCCATTAAAACTATGAATTCTAATTTTACAAAGAATATATTAAGGTTACATAAGCAAAATGTGAGGCCTTTTTGATTTTTATTTATTTTTCCTGAGGACTTTTTTAAATGAGGAAAATCTTACTGAGTTCTACTTCTGTAAGGATCAGAACCTTAAAGTGACCTACTTTTACCAAAATTTGTAGCATAGTACTTAACACTTACTTCAAGGTTGAAAAGGTTTATTAGAACAGAATGTGCTCTATAATTACACGGCCATTTCTCTACCTGGAACCCTTAGGGCCAGATGAATTTGATACTTCAGAATTTCTTGGACTTTATAGTGTCTAACAATCATAATCAAAATAAATTAGTGCATACTCATAATCAATTATATAGTGTGACACTCACAAACAACATTTTAGCAGTTCAACTAAATTTTCGTATTAAGTGGAATAAATACTTCAAATTGCCTCATATTACTTAAGATCAAGTTTTGCTGCCAAAGGAGTTATGAAAACTGTTTTGGATTTTAGAATTTCTTGGAGTTTGGAATACCAATGAGGGTCTATAGACTCAAATTATATAGCAACATATTCTTTATTCATTGATTCTCAAAAGTAACATTATTTTGAAGCTAAAATATGAGATGCTAACAGATGAATACAACTAGTTTTCTTTGTCTCAGGAAAAATAAAAAGGTGGGTTATAGAAAATAGCAGGTAATTTGCCAGTTTAGGCTTTTTCTTGCCAGAGCTCTGCAAAACAAGTTTCCCATCACTGGAACAAATCCAAAAACTGACCAGATTAAATGGAACCTACCTGATGACTGCAAACTTTCTATTTTCCTTGCATTTGGTTGTTTGGTGGACTTGCAAGTGCTAGACTGCCTGGCTCATGAATGTTCTCCTTAGTAGGTATTTGGAAAACAGGGCTGCTTTTGATTCTGTGCCACGCTATATGTATGAGCCCAATTAAGGGCACCATAACAACCAGAACTTTGTAGTCTCTCCAGAATTTCTGAAAGCTCATAGTCCTTTGGCATCCGGGCACCTAAGAAATGATTACAGTTAATGAAGAAAAAATTATATATGTAAATTCTCTCAAATTATTTTATAAAGCATTTTAAATAATGCACTGCACTCCAATAAAAACTGAACCAAATATTTTACAGTGTTAATAATGGGAGATATTTTGACGACACTAAGGGTTAGCAGGACCTCACACTGGGGAAACATTATAAAGCAGTACTTTACTTTTACTCAACTATTGTAAAGAAACAATATTAGTTGCAGGGAAAGCCACAAAAAACCTTTGGAAATACTCATGCATTCTTTATATTTGTTATTAACATCTCTCTCTCCTCTTCCCTCCCTCCTTTCTTTTCCTTCCTTCCTTCCTTCTTTCTTTCCACACTGGGGATTGAACCCATGGCTAACATTCTACTATGCTACATCCCAACGGTTACTTTCTATTAACAATTTTTTTTTTTTCTTTCAGTGCAGGAGATCGAAACCAGGGCCTCCATACAAAGCTACATCCACAGCCCATTTTTTATTCTGAGGATCTCAGCAAACTACATTGCCTTAGGCTGGGCTCAAACTTGGGATCCTCCTGCCTCAGTCTCCCAGTGTATGCCACCATGCTAAGCTCTTAAGTGTTAATGATTACATTTAGTCATAATTTTAACAGAAGAATCAAATGGTAATCCTTAAACATGCAGTGAGAATGTAGGATTCCTGTTCTGACAAAATGTAAATGATGGTATTTTAACAGAGACTGATATAGTAAGTACAGATTCCAACTGTAGCAAAAGACTTTGGCATGGGAGTTATGAATCAGAATAAGTGGTATTTCCATATTTATGTGTTGAACCACTGCATTATATTTTTTGCCGTGGGTTACTAGTAGCCCTACCCCACAATTACTCTCAACCTAGGGTACATGAAGATTTTGAGGCCAAAATACTGCCTAAGGTTAGACCTAGTTGGTGTTGAATACACACTTTGTTTCCTGTCTTTCATTTGACAAACATGGCATAGAGCCCAGGAAAGCTATGTTCTGAGGACCCATAAGGTTTGGAAACTCAAGTCTAGACAAATTTTAAAGCCTTCTTATACTTTTACATTTTAGGGATACTCATTAGTGATAAACTCACAGACTGTGATGACTGATAGTCCATCGTCTATGAGACATGCTAAAGATTTCAGTTCCACCTATATTTTAGTATCATGAAATCTCCTAAATTACTTTGTATAAATACAATTAGAAAGATATGTGCACATTTTCTACCTACCCATTAACATTTAAATCAGTATTAAAACATGGCAGCAATTCAATAAATAGCCTGAACTGTCTATAGATACTGTATATATTACAAATACACAAAAGGTTGCAAGTATTATGCTTACATACATATATTATTCCCAGCACTAGAAACTATTTCTCCTCTAGGTCTAAATTCACAATTACAAGGACTTTGTGGCTAAGCTTAAAGTACTGGATGGAGAAAACATGACCCACTTTGTAAATGAAAGAATCTTATGGCCGTTTCTGGAATCTTACATACTTCACAGTCTTTAGAGACCATACTTTTTGACATGCTTATGTTGTTTTTAGAGGACATCATTCATAAATAACTGCATCATGATTAAATTCCATTGTAAAGTCTACTGTTGAAATAGCTTTAGAGCACTTGAGATTTGAGGGTGCAATAACATAACGGGGGTGGGGGGGGACTTACTTCCTGGATGCCACGAGGTAAGCAATACTCCCTGCCATGAGCTCCCACCATGACATACTGCTTTGCCACAGGCCCAAAAGCAACAGGCCAACCATGGATTGAAACCTCCAAACTATGAGCCAAAATAAACCTTTTCTCCTTACAATTTGATTTATCTCAGGTATTTTGTCACAGTGATGGAAAGTTGCCCAACACAGATGTCATTCATATCAAAACAAATTAAACCACAATCTCTAACGGCCAATCTAGAAAAGTGTTGTGCTGGCTCTGCATGTAGTTCACAGCATGTAAGGCAGCATACTCCGAATCTTCTTTGAGAAGAGTGAAAATGGGGTCTCAGAATAGGATTAAGTTAATTCCTACATTTAATGAATTTTCTGGATTTTGTTGGAAGTTAAGAGATGCTCTCTTTTATGTATAATAATCTATTCTTTTCATAAAGATAACTTAAAGGTTTATGCATCTTTTTCTAGATTTAAATTTCTTTATACCTGGTATTTATTTTGGCTGAAAACTCATTATTTGCCAATCACTGAGGCCTAGTACAATACTTCCTGCTTTAGTAACTGATATGGACTGATTTAAGATTGATTCCTTTAACGTTTACTAAACACCTACAGGTTCCCACTTCTTCAAATTCTCCATATCTCATATATTGATTTGGCTAATGGAGAGCAGAGAGCAGGTAACTATTTTGTGACAGATTATTCTGCTGTTTTCTGAGAGGCTTGGAAAATGATTAGGATCAGGATTACAGGGCTTTTTATTTTATAAAACATTTTTTGAGCCTTCCTATTTAATCCATAAAAAAACACTATTATACTGCATACATAATAGGCCAGCTCCATGCAGCAGTTGAAGCTTGCACTCTTAAAATGCCATTGGCCTTAACTTTAACTACTTTGTTTCTTTCATTTAAAAGCTTTCTAGCTACATGTTCTACAGCCCATATAACCAACTAACTGTCCAGTGACAGGCACATTGGACTTAGTTACTAAGTAAGACTCAGTGATAGTTTTTAGAAAACAACATAGCTTTAAAATTTCATATTTGATGTGATACATAGGTAATGTTACTTATTTTGTTCATGTCCTCTCCTGGAGCTTTAAAAATCAAACATATTTGGGAGACAAAATTTTAACACTTTATTTCTTCTCAATTTTCTTTCCTATGGGTTTTTAAAAAAATAAAAATTACCATTACTACCTTTTTCTAATAATATAAGCTTACTTTTTAAAGCTAGTAAATATCGAAAATAATGAAATCTAAAATATTTTTGGTTCTAACAAAAATGTGATAATACTGTTTATAATATGTTCTCATATAATTCTTTATTATGATTTTTAATTGTGGTATAGCATTTGATATGAAGATTTTTCTAATTTGACCAATTCCCTCACTGATAAAGAGCTGACATTTTCTTTTCTCAATGCTTTATATCTCAGCATAATATTCTTGTTAACACTCTAGAGTCCATGGTCATAGACTCTATATTCTGCTTCTCAGGATAATTCAAATTAAAAGATTTCTTAGCAAATAACTCATATTGAAAATAAATTTGACAAAAAAGTTTTTAAATCCTTGACTTTTACAAAGGTTCATTACACTGAGCAGTAGAGCAAATGGAAGATGCAATTTGGAAAATATAAATTTATGCTAAATTCAATTTATCTAGTGATGGTCCTTCCCTCAAAACACTGGGCAAGTCTTTCCAAATGGTATGGAACTATCTTATGGATACCCAGAGATTCCTAAGTCTTAAACAAAAGTTTCTTAAGAATGTGCTCACAGTGAGCAAATTTAAAAAGCAGGAGGGCCGGAGATTTAGCTCAGTAGTTCCACTGCCTGCCTCGCAAATGCAAGGTTGCGAGTTCGATTCCTGGTACCAAAAAAAAAAATTACAAAGCAGTAACTAGCTAGTCCCTAAAATACAGTAAGTTCATGGTTTCTGGTCTTTCACTGAACTTTTCAAGTTGGGAGTGAAGCAGCAAAAGATGGCAGATGTTGTTCCCTCCTAACCTAGCTTGTAGTATGTAACACTGCTCTTTTTTTTCTTTTGAATCTTGATTAAATACACTGCTTTAAAAAAAATCATTTAGAAATATAAAAGAAATGAGATTTTTCAATTTTAGGTCAAGTAAAACAGAGGATATTTATCATTTTATTCATCGAAATGCCTTGTGTTTAGAAAAAGTGTAGCGGCAATCTTAACATAGATTATGCTTTCTTACACTTTTCTCTCAATCACACCACACATCATTCAAAAAGTTTCATATTTTTCATTTTTTTTTGTTTTCATAGAGAGTTTATGAGATCTTAAGACCATTTTATAAAAGACAAAACACTAGATTACTGATCTAGGATTATTGTTAGTTAACTGTGCTATTCAATTTAGATTTTACACTTAAAAATCTCAGCTGGTATTCTATTGAGCAGTTTTCAAAAGTCAAGAATTAGTGGCTCATCTTGAGTGGTGGAGTCTCAGAATTTCTACCACAAGCATTCCTCATTTAATGACTGAGTTCTGTTCCTCTGATTAGGTCATTAATTGGACTGGTACCTAAAATGTAATGTAGTACGTACATTACAATATTCAGAACAAAGAAATGGTCGAGGGAAACTCCAACTTGATGTCTTTGCTTTTATGAATAACTCTTACATGCAGCACTATAATGTATGAGAATATAAAACTACAATGTTGTACCGTACAGTATAATCAGCAAAAATTACAGTACTGTACAAAACAAGGTGCACTGTACAAAAAAAAACCATTGAGGCTCCTTAAACAGATGTACAGAACTGTACCAAAACAACAAAAATACGAGTCATAAGTCTGAACCATCAAACAGGTAGATCGTTAAGTGAGGAATACTGTATCTGTACTGGATGAGGAGAACATTCAGAGATCATGATGGTTACTTGGGAGGGTCACTGAGGTCAACAGCCCAGCACATTACACTTTGCATTTCTTCTGAGTCTCATGTTCAGTACATCAGAGGTTAACAGTGACCTCATGCTACTTGTCCAAAGTTAGAGGGCAAATGCATCCATTCTGTCCATTGAGAGAGTAGCTGGGCTAAATTTAGGTGTTTTAAGTTCTCAACACAGAATGAACATCAAGACATTAATGAACAGAAGAATGAGGAGCTTGCTATACCTCTACTTCATTACAGATGTAATCTTTTTGAATAGCTATAAACATAAAAGATCAAGAAAGGAAAATAGGATACTTTGGATCATAAATAGTCTTTAAAGACAACAACTTACCCCTCCCCAATTTGCATTACAGAGATTACTCTCTTCAATTTCC